GGTTCTCCATTGTTTCTCCATTGTTCTCCGTTGTTTCTGTTCTAATGACAGGTGTGTCTTCCTTGAATATAATGGTGAGGTACTTACCAATGATCTATTTGAAAATACTTTATTGCCTTTCTCAAACACATCTTGCTATAATCTTCCAGGTAAACATTCTAAAGGAAAATCATTTATGGTTGTCTTATATGACTGAAATGCTATTGGCAGGATTGATTGGTTGTAGAAAGTGGGGTCTATGGGTGTGTTTTTGGCACAAGGCAGGATGAAATATGTAATTTTGTTTTACTGAATAACTCCTGGAAGAGTATGTTGTGCCTACAGGAAGTATTGCTAGAAGGTGGGAATAGGCAGTTGAAAAAAGCAAAATATCAAAAGTAAACAGATTCTGAAAAACAGTAAAACATGCTTGACCATAATTGCTGGAAATTATTATCGATTATTTAAGATGTTATCATGAAAAACTACAAAAGGATTCTATCAAGCACAGTAGTACTGGGTTGTGAATTATTCTTTAGTGTAATAACCTCCTATTGTTCAAGGCTGTATCATATATTTGCCAAACACCACATTCTTCAGACAGATTGCATTGCCATGAAAGGGAAGACATCATCACGTGAAGACCTACAGATGGATGATCAGTGCCTGGGAAACTTGAGCAATCACATACAGAGGCTTCATTAATCTCAAAGGCCATAATTACTAGGATTAGTCAATTTTCCTGGAGTCATTACAGCAGATGACTATAAATACTAATGTTGACCCCCTCCAGCAATGACAGCAAAAGTTTTTCCACTGGAAGTCTGTTATATCTTACAAGAAGATTTGCTGTAGGCATAATTTCCATTTTAGATGGGATCAGGACAGGTAACTTCCCCAAAAGAGGGAAATATTTGAGGAGAACGTTCTTCATGTGCTTTTAACAGGGACTGAGTGTTGGAACATACAGGAAAGAGCTCCTGAATAATTTCCCAACTGCTCTTCTATGGGCTTGAAGGTAACCACCATAAATTGACTATTTTAGCCTGAAAGGAATTAGTGTGACTGCTTTCAGACATTCTGTATAAATTTATGGAATGTTTTAAATATTGTTTTATTGTATCTGGCAAAGGATAAAAAAGGCATTTCCTTTATTGTTGGGTTGTGATTTGATCCTTCTAGCACGTAGCTGGCTGTGAGTTCAGTAGGTCTTTCAAAAAGATTGAAATTACATAGCACTGAGGAGAGGACATAAAAAAGATCTACTGAAGAGATTTGGATTTCCTTGGCCAGCTGAAAGACGTGGACTTGGAGAGAAGAACTTCTCCTCAAGGAGAGAGCAAGCAGTCTGACTGAAGGGTTTGTGGGCTGGAGAGGCTGCTCATTTGGTTGTAACTCTGTTTGGTTAAATCTCATGTGTGATCTGTTAGATAACTTTTCTGCTGGGGAAGCCTGTAGTCCAGTTTGTTAAAGCTGAGAAGATCAGACTTGGATTATGTTTCTAGGGGATGCAGGATGGGGAAAAAGAAAAAAGAACCAAAAAAAAGAAAATAGCTTCTATTTAAGTCCTGTCTTTCTCTGCCTTATGGAGAGATTGACAATATTCTAAATAGCCATTTGTGTTTCTAAATAATGATGATTATTTCCAGTGGAGTTTACTCTACATGCTGTTTTTCAGATTGAAATCAGCAATGATACAGGAAATACAAACTTACCTAAACATATTTTTTTGATCCTGCTAGTTCTGTTTCCATAATTTAGTATTTTAACTTCTGGAATAAGGCATGCTTTAAGATAGGGTGTAGTTATTCCAGCTGTGAAATGGAAGCCAGGTTGGCTGGGTTTGCCTCCATCAGGAACCTGTGCTTCAACCTTGATTTTCTTCATACAGATCTTTATGAAGGACTTGACATTTCCTCAGCTATTGTCTTAACAGGCTGTTAGCAGAGTAGAAATTCTTGCTCTCTTGAAAAGTCACCAATGATGGTTGTTAAGATGAGTATAACAGTGCTGAGTTCAAATTTCAGATGTCTGTCTGACCACGGGTAAATCTCTTTATTTCCTTGTCTCCATTGGAAAGTCTGTAAAATCAGAGATTCTGACAGGTCTGCACAATTCTTGAGCCTTAAGGTGTTAAGGAAGCTACATAAACTGAACAAATATGTTTTCTGATATTTAGTGTTTGGATAAAGCAAAAGATGTTTTAGATTGTCTTTTTTTTTTTTGGCCTGAAGTTTTTATATTTAAGATTGTACTTCATGCAGCAATATTCTGCATTTGGTAGGATGTAATTTGCATTAAACTTTGTATGCAATGAATCTTGGACTCACACAGCCCAAAGTCAAAGTAATGTGTGCCCTATTTAAGTAATGAGCTATTGATTTTAAAATTACTCATTTTATTACCATACTATGGGACTAGTAATATTCTGAAAACTCATCTCTGAAATGGATGCTGTTTAATTTCAGTTTGAGCTGGGACAGAAATGGGCTTTAAGGGTTTTTACCTGTTGAAACTTGTGTGATAGATAGCAGGGACTCTTCCACCTCATGTAGAGCCCTAAACTCTTCTCAAAGCTTCTGTGAACCAATGCCTCTTCCTCTTGCTTGAGCTCAGACCCCTGAAGAGCCTTGTAGCATAATGTCACCTTTATTTGTCACTGGTAGCTATACCCTATATGCATTCACATAGTTGTAACACTTCCAGGATCAAAGACATGCTGCCAAGAAGGCTCACTGTGAAATTTTTTACCTGCTTTTACATTTGGGACCACTTTGCCTGACAAGACCAGGTAGATTGTGAACAGACCCTTCAGCAAGTCTTCAGTGAAGAGGTCCTGTCTGATGTTAAGAGAACCTGGTCATGGCAAAGCAAACCAAAAGCAACATTGGAAACACTCAGAGGTTAAATGTCTTTTCCACTCTTTTGCCCTTTTCCCTTGGGGATGCAAAGCGAGTTTCCCTGGAAAATGGGTGTGGAGGTTCCAGGTTTGGTTCTTTATTTGTGCATATTTGTTTTCCATCCTTTTCCTGCTGCTGCTTCTGAGCTCTGCAGCACTGGAGTGTAGAGAATCAATTTGCTGCCTGTGATTGCTCTGAACAAGTTTAAACTGCTCATGCCATGAGATTATTGCAGGTCTCCTTCTCCTAGCATGTAAATGAGAAGAGATGGCTACACATCTATTTTTTTTAAAATCTACATTCTTGCATCAGCTGTGATGGAATTTTCCTTATGTAGTATGTGACTGAAACAGAATTATTAGTAAGCTGTATCTGTCAAGTAGCAGAGACCAGTTTGTGTACTTGGTTACCAAAAATCCATGTTGCTCTTCCCTTTCCCCTCCCCCTTGCATGTAAACTTTGTAAAATTTTGATGATATATTATTCTCACTTTTGGTGCCTAAATTGAAGTATAGAACTGGGTGGTTTATGCATTCACTGTGCTGTATATGAAAAGGAAATCACAGGTGGTTTTCATACTTTTGGAACTTGAGCCTTCAGCTTTTTAAGGAATGATATTATGAATTTGTTTGGGTTTTGTTAACAAAAATGCAGGAATTGGAGCAAAGTTTGGTGAGGTACCTACCTAAGAGGCTTCTGAATTCTATACAGTGATGAATTGAGGTAGGAGTGGGAGTTGGGCAGAGGAGAGGAGGGATGTCTTTGAACCAAGAGCTTTCTGTGATTAGTTTCTCAAGAGTAGCCTTCTAACTTCTATGAAGCTATTAACTGTTTACAGGGAAACTTGAAGGAAATGGGTTTTATTAATTTGACACTGTGTTAAGAAAAAGGCTGGAGTCAACTTTGCTGTTGACTCTCAGTGGATGAGTATGGAGCCCCACCTTGAAAATGTGAGTGATGAAATGAAGAAAATAAGCCAGTATACAGTTCTATAAAATGAGGACATTGATGGAGGGCTTCAGCACTACAGTGTGGTCTCTGGGGGTTGCCTATTCCACCCTAGCCCAAAATCCCTGAACAGGAGTGTGTTTAGCTTTTTTTCTTACGTTTCCTTTCCATAGCAGGGAGATTAATTGTAAGAAAAAGTAATATCTGAATTATACAGTAAATATAAGTTGAGAGACACTATTCAAAAGCTGTGGATGCTTATGGAGATTATCTGTTGCTCCAAAAGTCACCCTTGTGGTAATTTTAATTCCTGTGTGGTGTTTAAATACTCTGTAGTTTGGAAGACATAACTACATCATCCCTTTGGTAGTAATGTGAGGTTACACCCCTCAGAGCTGGACAGTCAAGAGAAGGATAATCTGTGATACACGAAAGGTCTGGAGTTGAGAGGCTGTCTGTTGGTTGTCCTGTATTTGTTCAGAGCTTTAAATACAAAGGTCACCCCAATTTTTCTTTAGTTTCCCCCTCCCCTTTTGGATTATTAATGGCACCAAAGCAGATTCAGTTTCTTATTGCATTGATTTGCTTTACTGATTAGACACTGGACCAGACCAGTGATAACAGTAGCTGGCTAATAAAAAATTAAGAAAAGAAAGCTTGCTCATACTTCTTTCCATCCTAAACAGTTTGGTAGGTGCTTTAAAGCCAGCCTGGCAGCACGTTTTGCAGTGCTTACGATTCCTGGATACTTAACCCCTGACACTGTCTTTATTCAGAAGCATGTCTTGCAACTTGTGCTGTGTAATGGTTTTATGCTTAACAGAGTGCCCGGAACCTTTTTATTTTTGCCTTTGAGCTTATTTTTAGTAGCCTAATGTTAAATGAAAGCCACTAAACAACTTCAGGCTTTTACAGATCCTTCCCTGTAGACGAAAGATCCCATTTTAATATGGATTTTATGCGTTTTGTTCATCTCCCATCTACTTTTCCCTTAGCCAATGGCAGGAAGATTCCTAAGGCTACTTTCTCTTTAAGGACATACTGCTTACATAAATAGTCCTTTACACCATCTCCTTGTTTTATAATATTGTTTATCAGAAGAGGGGAAATATTCCTTAGAAATGTGTTTTCCTGCTTGTGCATGCCTTGTTACTATTTCAATTATGCAGATTCTTGATGCTGTGGAAATTTGTGCTTGATGACGCCAAGGCAGCTGCACGTTGTTAGCATTGTAGGCTGTCAGATGATCATGTGGGATTCTTGCAGCATGCAACATTCAATAGGATTGAAAAAGGGCTTTTGATGCAAGGCATAGCTTTCAGAATATATTTGTGCCTTTTAGTTAGCTAATATAGGATCATAATTTATTATCTTTAAATTTAAAATGCTGCCTCATTTTTCTTCTGGTTGGTTTCATTTTGGCTTCACTAGAAGATGCATCTGGTACATCCACGATTGAGGAGTTTATTAATGATACTGTCATTCAGTTCACTTACTTTTTTTCCTTTTAGAGTCCTAGCTAGCCCACAGATTACATGATCACATGTTCATTCAGTCATTCATATAGAACACAAACCACCATGCATGATTTCTTCTTCTTTCTTTTTCCTCTCTGCCTTTTTTATTCCCTCTGAGTTGCTTTGTCATGTTCTCTTTTATCATTAAGCTGAGTCTTTGTCTTCCTCTCGCTGCTATTTGTTCTATATTTTCCCATGCTTGGTTACTGCAATATTATTTGATTAACGGGCTGTGATGATGATGAACCTGCACACTGGAGGAGCAGCTACTACAGTGGTGATGAAGGGATGTAATAATGGTCGCTATCCTCGGAATTCTCTCTACAGTGACTGCATAATAGAAGAAAAGGCAGTGGTCCTGCAGAAAAAAGACAATGAAGGATTTGGATTTGTGCTCAGAGGGGCAAAAGGTATGTGATTCTGTGTGTGTGTGTGTTGATGTGCACTGGCATGAAGAAATTTATCCATCTCTGAATATAAGCAGGAATTATTCTTGGTGCACTTGGTTGCTAGACAACAGGATTCTCTCTATGCTATACTACTCAGACAGATTTTAGTGGCTTCTGTCTGAAGCAGTTTGCTTTTTTACATAGGATAAGCACTGTATAATCGTTTGGAGGGGAGAAAGTTTTGCCTGTATTTTTATGGTGTTGGTCTATGTAATATTTTGCCATTAATCTGTTTCGTTATGCAGTTTACCTAACTGTGGGAAACCTGCTTTCCTTATAAAACCTGCTTCTTTATTTCAAATGTCAGTCTGTTTCAATAGGTCTGTGAATAGATAGAGACGAGAGAGTGATATTTTGTTTAAAATAGGTGTGGATCTTCTGCAAGGTGACATTGGTGCAGTTTTAGTATGAAAATATGATCTTTTTTTATATCTTCAGAAGCTGCATGTATGTTGCATGGCCTGTAGTGTGCTCATTTTAAAAGCTGTTCATATGTTAAACTTTACGTTACTTTTCTGTGGACTAAAATCCACAATAATGGCTTTCTCAAGAGTTAAAAAAAGCATTCTATTTAATGCTTGGCTTTTTAACTTTCAGTCCAGTTTGCTCCTTTTGTATTTAAAAAAAAATATATATATGATGGTATGTCCCATCTTTTGCTCCCCCTCATTTTACATGGGTTCTCCCTTGCCTTGCTTGAGCATGAAAATTATTCCATATCTTTATTCTCGGGACATCCTTTTTGCTCTCCCTGTTCCCCCACCCCTAAACCAGTGCCACTGTGGCTTTGCAGTGTCGTGAAAGCTTTTCTCATTTTAGCTAAATAAAAATCTGTGGAGTTGTCCTAGGCAAGCCAAGAGCGGTACCTTTTAGCTGAACCCATTGGCATGAGTTTGTGCATCGAGCAGAGGTTGCTCTCTCTGTGTAAGCCCAACAATTTTCCTCAGATTTTCTCTGTAACAGTGAGGGCACCTCAGGTGAAAGACCCAAGGACTTTTTTGCTTGTACGGGTACGTGACAGAGAGAGGGAGGGCTGGTACAGGGCCAGCTTGTGCCTCCTTTCCTAAAAAGTGATTTCTTCTGTTATCTTCTATGTAGCATACATCAAAAACTAGAAGAAAATTCAGGGTTGGGGATTTTTTTTTTTTTCCTATCCTTTCCCACCCACCCCATCCGCCCAGTTTGGCCAGATGCTCTCTTCTGGCTGGAGTACATAATTCATTTTTAGTGGGATGTTGCCAGAGTTACAAGCATTTTGCTAGGCACACAAAAGGGTGATTTGAACTAATACTAATCCTGGAATACTCAGAATCCAGCTATTGCCTCCTCCAGCTTGGCTGGGTCTGTGCCAGGAAAGCAGCATGTCTTTTCCTCACTGAATTGAAGACCTGTGGATTGCTGTTGCAGAGATTGCACTCTGGTCCCAGTACCTTCATCTCTGAGGCAAAGTCCTCACACTTTTAGCACCCATCATTTATTTTTTTAATCCCTAAATCTGAATGGCCAATAACAGGCCTTTAGTCAAGTGGTATTTGCAAGCACTCCATAACTTTCTTTTTTTTTTAATGTGGTATTTATTTTTAAAGCTGACACACCAATTGAAGAATTCACCCCAACTCCAGCCTTTCCTGCTTTGCAGTACTTGGAATCTGTGGATGAAGGGGGAGTAGCATGGCAAGCTGGCCTGAGAACTGGAGACTTTTTGATCGAGGTAGGAGATCCTCAAATTTAATTCTCAGTGCTCTGTTGGGGAAATAGTGATGTTCCCTTGGTAGAATTTGCTTTGGGAAAGGTGTGTGATGTTGCTGAACAGCGAGTTCAGTGGACTAACACCAATAATGTGCACTTGATCTGTTTTAAAACCTCATCCAGCATTTAGGAAAACACTTAAAAAGAACAATCTTCAGGCTTGCTGGGGATTCTCTGTTCCTTCTTTTTCCTATTTGGGAACACACTACCAGAGAACTCTGGGAGGTTTTATTCCTCTTTGCATTATTGAATCGATATTTAGATTAATTCCAATATTTCTGGTAGGCTATCAGTTCTGTGGTCTTCAAAGTGTTTCTTACAGAGCTGCTAAAATGAATGACTTTCTATGCAAGTATTTCTGCAATCAGAAATATCAGTGCTCTTTAGAAACCCTGAAGAATAAAAGAAATGACTTTGGCTTGAAAGGAAATATTTCCAATGTTGCCCTGTAAATACAATCATATTAAAAAAAAAAGGAATAAGTGTTATTGCAATACAAATTACTTTACAAAAGGAGTATATTACAATGCTCTCTTCATTCACACAAAAAAATATCTTCACATTTTACATCTCGGAGGATTTTTGGTGGGTGGTTTAGGTTTTGTTGAAATAGTTGGTGCTTCTTTTTAGTGTTACTGGACAGTTTGCAACAACATCATGACACACAACCTTTTCATGGCCAACAAAGCAATGTTGTGATTCTGGGAAAGTAGGTATTTGAAAATAGGTCTTTCAGGATGGATCGACCAAGCCTTGTCTCTAAGATCTATTGATTTTCTTTTTCTTTTTATCTTATCTCCTTCAGACACGTATGTGCTTTGTTAAACTGTTTACTGGTGCTGCAACATTTATTTCTGCAGAGCTGGTTTTTACATTCAGGAGGGGGTTTAATATGCAGCTTTTATTTGTTGTGTGCTTTGAACTCCCATGGTAATTGAATTCAAACAGTTGCACTGCTTCTTCATGTTGTAACAATGAAGGAATGGGCTTTGCAGGCTTCTAAAGTAAATAGATGTGGATTTTTATCTGTGTCTTCCAAGTACATTTTTCTTACTCTTTGCTTAACAGTTTGCTAAATGCTTATTCTTAAGTAAAAAACAGCTTTCAAATTGTACTGATATGTGCTGTGTGCAAGGATGCCTTCAAAACTATCATTTTTGACATTAGGAGGGTGGGTTTTTTTTTTTAAACAATGCTTCATTTTTAGAAGTTGATTTCTTGTTAGGCTTTTCATCTATAGGAAGCATGAATAATCCATACAGGCTGATTCTGCACATAGGTTTGGGTGTGAATAATGTGTAATTTGATGGAGAGGATTACAGAAGGATAGCTGTGCATATGAATTTTTTTACAGTCTCTGAAAGGGATTCAAGAAGTCTGGGTAACTGATTCTGCACAAAGCTTTGCTGGTTTTCTGATCAGTGACAGAAGAATTATAATTAATCATCCAGACAATTTACTCCCAGCCTTAAAAGTTAATTAAAAGGTTGTAGTCTTGAGAAATCCCAAGTTTGCTGTTGCTGAAGACTTTTAGAAGGGCAGGGTTTTTTTCCCTACTTTATCTTTAATGCTGCCTAGCTCTAGAAAGCCATTTTGGAAGATCTTTACACTGATGCAATTATATTAATGTTGAAATATAAATGACTGGTCCACCTGCATTTCTAGGAATGTGAAGCTACTTTATTTCTTGTGTTGAACTGAGAAGAGTTCAGTGTACTATACCTTGCAGGGAGTGGTTATCCTAACTGGTGTGGCTAGTTTGTTTTACTGTTAAATTATTTCTCCCATGACTCTAAAGTTTATGCTGCTGTGTCTAAGTGCCCCCCAACCATTTGTAAGTAATATAATGCATTTATCATAAATGCCACATGAATAATAAAACAGCTAATGGGCAACTAGGATCCTAATTAGTCCCATTTATAACACTTGTGGCAAGCATCAGGCTTTAGGGAAGAGAGAGTCCAGTCTGGCAGAGGACAAAATGCAGAGGAGAGCCAATATTTTGCTCTTGCTTAAGGAACTTTGGTGGGTTGGGGTCATGGAGATAAGGGCAACCTTCTCCCATGCTCCTGACTGCGGAAAGACAGGTTTGACAGGAAGGTAGATCCTTTCTTTGGAAGCAGGAGAGATCATGAGGGTAGGTGAAGAGAAGGCATCATTTCTTCATGTGTCATTATGGTTTCTGGATCTTCTGAAGGGGGTAAAACTTCAATATCAGCTGTGGAGCACACTAAAGGAGTTCAGCATTGAAGATGATGTGTTGAGCAGAACAAATAAAAGATCTATATAAGAAGAAAAGGTGTCGTCATGCCTCAGTAGGTAAACAGAGTAGATATGAGCTGGAAAAGGGCTGGAACACCATCACTTGACTGAGTTTTTATCAGGTTTGGAGTTCTTCTGAAAAGCCACGTGATGCTGATTTGTCCAAACCTGTACAATTAATTTTAACAGAGACTTTGGAGATTAATGTTACACTTGCCTTTGGAAATAGCAGACTCTTCATTGACATTTCTGACAGTAAATGATTTTTGTCCTTGCTTCAAACCCAGTCATTTTTTTGTGCTAAAAACTAATATGTGTAGTGAGTTTTCTGGATAGAGCACAAAAAAAGTGTATTGGAAAAGCACATGATAAGTTTTAGAGCTAAACCAGTTAACTAGATATCATTATATGTGGATTTTCATAAACAATTCAGCAGTTGCTGATTCATGTGGGTTTTTTCTTATCTGTGGTGAACAATCAGAAATGGAGTTTGGTTGTTACAACTGAGACAGGTTGTATACCTTGCCCTATTTACTGTTTTTCACTATTTTAGTTGATGTTTTTTTTGAATCTTGATATCTGCCCTATTAAAAAGTCAGTTAAAAGTAAAGCAACACTTAGGGCAAGTGCTATCCAACCCAAAAATTGTGGTTTCCAGTAGAATGGGATTTAAAACCCTACAACCATCAGGGTGACTGAGTTTCTACAGTACACCTGGTCAAGTTTGTAAATGCTTGATCAGAAAAAATCCAACCAGAAGCTGATGGGATTTGTTACTTGAAATATTTGCAAGGAAGAAATGTGTTAACTCTGGCTCTGCATCACTTATTTCTGACTAATCTTCATGTGCCTAACCCTTAGTTACCTTTGTTTAGTGTAGTAGTCAAACTAAAGCATAAATAGAGGAGCTATTGTTCAGAGGGTGCTGCATGATAACATGATTTAGATAACTCTTTAAATTGGAATTGGTTTTTCCTTTCAGATTTGCTTTGACATATACAAGTATAACCATCTTTGAGATCCATTACAGTGGAAAGTTTATAATTTGTAATAGTTGGTTGTGGGCTTTTTTTCACTATACTAGGGTATAAACTATCTTACTAAATTAAAACCCAGTGGATTATTAGCTATTTATTACTGTTGTACTCATGAGTGTGCATCTGTTTTGTGTTTCATGAGGTGATGTGTGGGGCTTTTTCATCTGCCACAGAGTATCTCCTACCAAACCATAATGTTCTAATATCAATACTTAGAAAGTGAAACTAATTCTGCAATACTTTACCAGAATAATGCATTTGTTCTCTAAATGAGTCATTGCAGTTTGCATTATTGTGCCATAAAATCAGTTATTTTTCCAGATAAATTGAAATGTTATTGTCTTCAGAATAGAATGGCAGCTTATTTACATTCCAGTTAAAATGTAAATTAGATAAAACCAATGTGTTATCCATTAAAATAAAAAGGAAAAAGAAAAAAAAAAGGGAACATTCAAGGTTTTGATTTGAGAATCAGAACCAGTGATGGTAATAGAATAAATTTCATCATTGTGCTGCAGAACAGTTCAGCTGGTACTTGTACTAAAACATGCAAAATGGTCTGTAGGATAACTATCTGTATTTCTTTATCCTCAAGAGCTTATAGAATTTACCAGCACAAACTTTTCTTGGAGTAGTGATAGGTGGAAAATAGACCTTGTTTTACTACAGACAGCATCATCTCATCCTTGTGTTAGATACTGATATCTGACTTTGTAGGAAGCAGCAATAAGCATTTAGGGAGATATTGAAAATATCTGGAATATTTTTTAAAAAAACACACACATGCACGAGTAAATTTAGATTCCTATTGGGTAATAGTTTAGGTTTTTGTTTTATTCCAGTAAAACCAGCTTCATGAAAACTTCAAAACTGGTCTGGAAAGTAAGTGTCTAACTTTATTGTTATGATTTAGACTATAGTCTTTATGAATACATTTGGCAAGATAGCAATGTTATGGCTTACTTGTGTGTTCAATGGCTGGAAGAATTAGTGGTTTTACAAAGCCATGTGGTACTGATTTGGATCCTTTTAGCAACAGAGCAACCTTCCCATCCTCAGCTAATCTTCATTAATTACCCCGCGGATGAGTTTTTTTCTTATTTCTAGTGTGAACTTTGCTAGCTTCTGCCACCAGATATAAATCTACATTTATTCTTTTTTTTTAGGCAGCTATATGGACACCATGATATTTTTTATCTCTTTAGAAATAACATGGATTATCAAACTGCAGTTTTTTATGGCAGTTTTCTGAAAGTTTGTTCATGTCCTCCCAGAAGTGTGGGCCCCAACTGGATGCAGTACTTCACAAGAGCCTCCTTAAAATTGTCTGTAGGAGGAAAAAAGCAAAGCCTTTTGGTGGACTGAAAGAGTCAGGTCCACCTTAGCTGACTGCCTTGCATTAGGGCTGTTTTCTTGCCAATTTGGCTGCTCCTCCTGCCCATGTACTGAGCTTCCCTTTGGCATGTTGAGCAGGAGAGCAGCCAGGCTCACCGTGGTGCGTGCTGAGCTGCTCTGTTCCTAGACAGCATCTACTTCAGCTTTGGGTTCAACTATGCAGACAATATTCTCTTATCATTGAAAATGATAAAAAAGTTCTCTTATCATTGAAAAAAAATTTATAAAAATATCTTATAATTGAAAACTGCAACAGTACTGCAGTATT